GGTTTTGAAACCAGAGAAGGTGCCATCTTGAATCTCTGCAACAGCCTTGTCTGGCCATGAAATTCTTTTGGGGTGTTCCCAAGGGAAAAAAGGGGTTGGGATAGATAGTAATTGTGCACTTTTCTCTATAAAGTTTAAAAAGCTAATTTAAAAGTCCCTAAAATTTTATGTTTACCAGTCCTTGCCTAAAAAGCAATACTCACCAATATTGTTCTCACATTCCTAAAAGGGGTCAGGACCAGGAGACTGGCATAGCCTAGTCGTAGCTTGAAGCATGACAAGATCAAGAGTTAACATGGGCAAACAAATCAGTGTCAACACATCCACATTAGCACAGCTTTGTCCTTGACAGTGACATTTAGTCATGTTGAATTGAGTATCACTTAGCATTGAGACAAAGCTAGGTAGGCCTTTGCCAAGAAATGTCTTAACTTAGTGCTTTACTGTGGTACCTGCCCAGATGATGGCATATAGCATAAGCTTGCATAGTACGTACATACACCTCAGGTGTACATGCTTCAGATGTGTAAAAAGGAAAAGGTTCAAGGGCACATGATTAAGCATTTTCTAGCTGTTAAGAACACTTGCTCATCACATATCCCTCTCTGTAAGACAAAAATGTTGACAAGTTGCCTCCAGAAAGGCTGTAAGGTCCTGATTTTCCAATGTAGGTACAATTTACATCGTTTTACAATTGGACAGACATGCTCTAAATCCTGACATTCACTAAATGGCAATTAAATGGCATTTTACCATTGGGCTGAGAAAGTAAAAACATAATGGAATGAAATATGAGGGCTTTGCCATCAAGACTGGCCTGGGTTCTGAATACACCACTTGTTTATTAAGACAAATAATTAAAGTGAGGAGTCTTCTGCTCTCCCATTAAGTAATACCTCTAAAGTGGTTAAGTATCACTTGATAGGCCCTGCACAATGTTTGGCAAAGGAGTACTCGAAAATAAAACCTCCCCTCCTGGATGCCACAGCAAAGGCAGGGTCAAAAAAACTTTCCTGACCCATCCAACTCTTCACTGGAGCGTCTAACCAACCCTCTTTTGCAGCTAATTTCAACGATTCAGTTTTTAGCCCTCTCCAAATAATCATTGTGCTCATATCTCCTTACTCCTTAAAAGGTGGACTTCTACTCCCAACCTAACTTCTAGAAGCCAATTTCATGTCAAACAGACTGCTATACATTGTCAACACAACTCTATCAGGAGTGCCAGTTCAATGCCTCGTCCCCATTAAACCCCAGACAGCTGGGATACATGAGCCAGCCATTTCATTAGTGCAGTCTAACTGCCAAATTCTTGGCCTTCCTGCCAGTACCCGTTTATCCCACAACTGCTTATTTGGCAGTGTGGCTAAAAAGTCAAATCATCAGGCTGGACCTACTTCAAGTTTTCGAATCCTTTCAGTTTAACCCCTATAGTTGTACACTCAATAGCTCCTACCTTATAAACTTCTACTTCATAATTAAGGTACTCATTTCTTCACCTCAGATTTTTTACATAACCTTTCCTTATCTGTGAACTCTGCCTTCACCACCTCCCATGCTTGCCATGACTTATTTTCATCTAAGTGGCTTTTCAAAGGGCTCTCAACTAAAGATTTGTACCCCGTTCCCCACTAAGTGCCTGTGTCATGGACTGCCATGTAAGGAAACAATTCAATGACAAATCAACACTCCAATTTGTATCTACTTTTAAAGAGTTCTTGTTGTAACTTAATATGAATGGTTTTATCTAAAAATAAATTTCCTGCCCTGGCCTGTTTGGCTCAGCAGTTAGAGCATCGGCCTGCGGACGAGAGAGACCCAGGTTCAGTTTGTCCCCGGTCGATGTCTCTCTCGCATCGATGTTTCTCTCTCTCTCCCTCCTGCTCTATCTGAAATGCAAAAATGTCCTCGGATGAGAATTAAAAAAAAAAAAAGAAAATGGATTTTGGTTAAAAAAATAAATTTCCTTATAAATTCTGTTGGCAGAGCCACCTGGAGTGGGTTAAAATAAAGCCACCAGCTGCCTAAGCTTTAAAAAGGCTTATAAATTGTTTCCTAAGAAAAATGTTCTATTAAAAACTTTTAGCTTTCAAAACTTCCATTTTTATTCAGATCATTTCCATTTCCTTATCTAAATGACAACAGTATCCTCAGCCCCACCCCAATAAAAAGGTATCCTTCAGCAACTTTCCTCTTCCTTAGCTCTGTTAAGTTTAGGGGCCTGTCAGCAAATAACCAAACATTAATAAAAAGGATGCTAACTCACCCCAAATGTAACCTGAACAAACTATATACTAAAATACATGTGCCTATTCACAAGAAAAATTTTCTTTCACAAGTGAAAAGAGAGGGAAGCCACCTACAAATAATTTTCTGAAAGGCTTAATTTTGCTCTAAAAGTAAAGTGAAACATTCTCCATCTCAGGACCTCTCCAAATGATGACCACAAAGAAGTGAAGTATCTGTGTTTCCAGAGGTTTTCACTACCTCAAGGTGAAATACTTACATATATATACTAACTCACAGTAAAGGCACGAAATGGCCAGATTCTGAGGCCTTAGTGAAGCAATCATATACAATGAGGCCTTAGTGAAGCAATCATATACAATGCTTTTATGTATGTCAGAACTGGGGGGAGGGGGGGGGACCTAAAGATGAGAAATATTTACACATGTATCTCATGTTAGTCTGAGAAGCCCTTTTAGTTATGTGATCCAGAAAGAACTGGGATGCCAAATGATGTCTAAATAATGTAAGTTTTGGCAATTAGGGCAAAGCTGCATAAAAAAAATTAAGCACACTAAATTTATCAAAAGAAAATTTCAATCTCTCCTCAGAAACTCACAAGTGTGCTTACTTGAATTCCTTTGAGGTATCCAATGAATCTAATAAAATAGGAGCGAATTTGTTGACTATAAAATCATTATTTAACACTACCAGATTGTTTTGATAAATATATAGTCCAACCCAGATCCTTCTTCACCTACTTTAATTGTAAAAATCTTTCATACCCACCCTCAAAAATTGGAAAACCAGAAGGCCAGTACAAAAATATACAACTGGAAGACATCACCAACTAGATCTGGCAAAGTCATGTTCAGAATTCTGAAAAATAAAAAACACATTAAGACAAAGCACTAAACTGGCATCATATAACAAGGAATTTTATCACCTGGGAGAGCTCTTCCCAATAACACAGTGTTATACCACTGGAAAACTGAGCCAATGAGCCTGGAATCAGGCTGTGTATATTTTGAAAAACATTTGAAAACTTTCTGTGATCAACACTACTCCCAATTTAAAATTCAACTAATACGAACCATGACTACAATAAGAGGCAACCAGGACTTCCCATCCAGATATGGGTATGTCTACTTTGATAGAGATGCCACCTACTGACATGATCTTTTTAAGGAACTGTAAAAAGCATATAATAAACAGTAGTTATCTTTTGTCTTCACCTTTCTGTTTAAGACATGAAGTTCAGAAATAACCCATAAGAAGCTGAAAACCAGTTACATATTCCTGAAAGCATGAAAGCCAATTACAATCCTTAGGTTTCCTTAAATCGTCACCATTAAGTGACCTCTAGTGAACACCCGTAGTCATTACACTGCAGATTAGTTGTAGTGACTTGCTTTCACTGCCATTTGATTCAGAGGATGCGTAACCAAACTGGCTAGTGGAACTTGTAATTTTTTAAATTATAGTAACTTCAGAACTTCTAATAGCCACAATAGAAAAATGCAATGTGAAGGGTTGTTCTGGAACTTTTGATTAAAGTGAAAACACACACACATCCCAGCCTGCCAAGACAAGATAACTCCTTCAGGTTGACTTTATCTCATCTTCCACATTACCCACATTATACCCATAATTTATTATCCTTTTACCAATAACGCTAACTTAGAGTTTGGGAGTTGTAAACTGCCCCAAAAGCCCATATAAATGTCCATTTATAAGAGCATTGTAATTATTGACATACCGTATTACTTCTAAGTCGTCAGGTTAATCTTAAGGATCTTCTGTAACAAGGCTCATACTGAACCTCATTGATACCAATTCTCCCTTGTGACACAAATGACTCTCCTCCCTTGTTGACATTTGCCATGAAAAGTTAAGGACCAGGGGAAATAATCAGCCTAGCATCTACATCTTATAGAATATACTTATATAGCCCTGGCAGGTGTGGCTCAACTGGGCAACATCCCACCCCTTTGATTCCCAATTGGGTGGGTTCCATCCCCAGTAGGGGGCGTGCAGAAGGTAGCTAATAGATGCTTGTCCCTCCACCCCCGTCTAAAATTCAATTTTAAAATTAACATATCCTTATATAGTCAACTCAATGCAATCATTTCAGTATTAAAGTCAGGATAATCCAAAACTGGCATAAAATAGCACATTTAAGGAAACTAAGCCACAAGACTGTTGCATTATGGTTTAATCTAATTGCACAAAAATTTGAAATTACAGCTCCTCTGGATTTCTAAGAGGAAGGTTATGCATGCCTCCATATTCAAGTCTGCACTGTTACAATTTAACCACATAGTGAATTTTACATCATAATGGCTCAATTTAGAATTCCCATGCAACACCTCAAATTATATAAAATGGAAGCATTTTTAAAGCTTTGTGGAAAGTTCTCATGCTAATGCTAAAAGCCTTTTTATATGGGCAACTTTGGGTTATAACGTTCTAGAGGTTACTAATCTTTAATGTTGGTCACTGAGTATCATGGACTTTGAACTGGCTTCTACTCCCCCAAATTCCCTTCACTTCAAAAGCCTCAATTGTTTCTTATAAAATTTGTGTAACCAACTGCTTTTTCATGGGACAAGAACTATGTTAATGGTGGCTTTGACTATTACAGTTATGCTATTTTATTAATTCAAAAGCACTTTACAAGAAAATATAAGTATGGCTTCCAATAGGAATGTTATACCTGAACTTGATACCAAGCTCACAGATTTTAGTTTTGCAAGGAAAAACAGGCTTTCAGGTTAAACAACAATTTGTAACCAAAACTTTAATCCCAAGGATTCTCACAAAACATATTACAAATGACAGCATGAAAAAAATTTTTGCACAGTAACTCAAAGTTCAGCTCTACAATGTACCCTTAAACTGGCAGGACACTGGTATCTTGAATAGTCTCAAATTTCCAAATGAATAGTTACAAAGATTTATGTAGTCATATACAGCAATCACATAAGAAATTTACGACCTAAGCAAAGAAGGGTAAACTAACTTTCTTGAAACTTCTTAGATTCTACACTAAGTGGACCACCTCTGCCCGGTGTAGAAGACTAGTTGGATCTGAAACTTTACTTAGATTCCACACTAACTGGACAACCTCTGCCCGGTGTAGAGACTAGTTGATTTTTTTTTTTAAACCTCTAATCTAGTTTAAGGGTGCAGCTTTTAATTTTTTTACCTGCTGGCTTGTGTGTTCACAGCAGCTTTTGAAGACTGCTTGTTAAACTACAGCTGCATATTATATCCCAGCTATGGAAAGTTTCAAGTTCAATTTTTCCAAGTTTTGTTTCCATAATACTCAACATCACACTTTAGCTGGGCAGGAGTTTAGAGGTTTATTATCAGTCTATGCAAGACTGAAGTTCAAAGCAAATTCAATTCTGCTTAAGGGAACATTGTAAAGTAACAATTTTTGATATTACATGCCTCATATGATCCATTTCAAACCATAGAGAATTACATCTTTATGTGTCACTGTTCCAAGACAAACAAATGTGAACAGCTAAAACATCTTAAAAATGCACCAAGCTTATGAAGTCTCAAACAAAACTTGAATTTTCTGTACATACTCCTGTCAAATGAAGTTATTTCCTGTACACCACTCCTCTTGCAAACTGGTCTTCTATTTCCTTTCATTTGACCTAGAGCGGCTAAAAAAAACAGAAAAAGTTCCATCTGTAACTTGGTGACAGCGACAAAACATCAAAAGGATCATTGCAAAGTTATAAAAATAATATCAAAATGGTTTAAGAGGACCTATTTCTGTTTTTAGTATATTACATAAGCAAAGGTCTTAAATAGCTCGCCATTAAAGAGCTTACCTACGAGACCTAGAGAAGGATCGAGACGGCTTATGATTTCTCTCCCGAGACAGTGATCTCTCTCTTCTTCTATCTCTAGAAAGGGACCTAAAAAGAGAGGGAAAAGAAAAATAGGACCATTCAGGATTATACACAACAAGTATTTGAAAACTAAGTTGGTTCATTCTTACAACTTAATATTGGTTCTATGTAACACTTCGTTCATTACTAAAGCTGAGGAAGGTCTATTACTGTTAACCAAGTCGTTTGGAAAACAGCTTATGTGCAAGCAACACTGCCATTTCGAGAATGTGGCCCAAAGTCATTTACCTGCTCCGGCTGCGCGAGAAGCTTCTCCGTCTTGGAGATCTAAAAGCAGAAACAGGAAAGTTAGGCTAACTGTCAATTAGTATTTATGGCGTGAGGCATTTCCCAACTTTTCAATCTCACTGTTGGGCCCAGTGAATGTGCTGAAGAACTGGCACCCATCGTCCAAAAAAAAAAAAAAAGAAAAGAAAAAAAAGGCACAGAAGGATTAAGGAACCAAAAGCTCAAGTGAAAAGCAGGTATTCCAACCATGGACTCACTTTAACAAAGAATGCTTCACAGCAGATCTGTCCAATGCAAAACTTCATGTCAAACTAACTTCACTACCCAAAACACCACACCAAAATGTAGTCCCACAAGTAGTTCCAAAAACAGTTCCATAAACCAGTATTTGGAACCCATGCAAACCTATTTAAGTCCATGACAAGACTTAGGTAACCAGGTGGATAGTGTAATTTTGTGAAAACGCGCTAGGTGTAAATATTGATGCCATTAAGTGCTACATTAGAACTGCATTTGTGATCGTCACATTTAAGAGTGTGTTTTAGACTTATCAAATTACCTTAGCTTGGCCCACTTCACCCCCAAAATTTAAAAATTTTGAAAACTGTTAGTAAAACCATTTAAAGGTGATAGGAGTCAAATTTTTGCTAGAAAGAAAAGCTACATCTGTTAGTTATTAAAATTTTTAGTTTGGCATCTCACACATGCAAATAAGTTTCACTTGAAGGTCTAGTTACATTATGAGTTCCCTATCACCCTTAAAAGTTTTATTCAAGCAATATATATGTACATTACCATTCAATTATGCACAGCCAGCCTTTGATCCAGAAAAAAGAATTACTTTAAGCCGCTTACTCCTTATTTTAACCAGCAGTAAACTGTATAAGCAGGAAAAACTTACTAGTTTTGGGTTTCAACAAGCTAGAAATGGTGAGGTGAGGCTGCCGGACTGACGGCCAGGAAGAATTTGCTGAAAAGGTTTTGCCAGATGTTGCGTTGGATTTAGTTGGTTGGCGAAGGGGGTGTTGTGGATTTTTCCTGCTTTTTTGTTAGCCGAAGGCTGCTGCTGTAGTTGTTGTGAAGACATTTGGTAAATAAACAGCTGAGCTGATTGGCCAGGAATGTGTGGGCGGTCGAGGTGGCTGCTGCCGATTTGGTTAAGGTTGGAGAGAAGGCTGAGAGAAAACAGCATGCTCGGGAACCAAAGGGCGGTGCAACCTGACGACTGGCCATGCCTGGGTCATGTGAAACGACACCAGCCAAGCTGAATGGGGCGCGCTGGTCACATGACGCTGAAAGGGCTAGTTGACTGGCTAATGCAGACTCAGAGGGTGGTGAGAAGAGACATGATGGTGACTCTGTAACGGGGTTCATTTTTATTAATAGATGGACCAAAAAGCACAAAAAAAAATGAAAAACAAGCCATCAGTACAACCATCTATTTAGCTAACAAATACTCTTTATTATGATGGGCAACAGTGTGTTGTTTTTCAAAATAGCAAAAGGGGCAAGATTTTTGAACTCCTATCTCCTAGGACTTCACTCACCTGTAAGAGGTAAATTCAGTCCTACAGAAACTATTTTGGAGATTTGAGGAGATGTGGAGTTAGCATCCAGACAGCACTGCCTGGTCCAAGAATGATGCCATTTTCAATTATAAAAAAACTGATTTCTCTCCTATTTGGGTTTGAAGAATAGATGACTGGGATTACTTTTTTAGCCCCCTTTTTTGGTCAGTCACTTAAGTTAGTTTCAGAAAGATTTCTATTTTACCAGTTGTAACATTAAAACAGCTGCCTGGTTGATAAAATATTACAATCGTGCTACTAGCAGAAAACACATTTTTTTGTGAAGAGCTAGAGTTGAATGTAATGTTTGTCATTATGGAGTCAAGAAATGGAAAAAGGCCTAAATTGAAGTATAAGGGAAGACTTGGAAAGATGCAACTAGAAGATGAACTAGAAGATAGATCCAAGATAGAAGTTACTGACTACCAACATGAACCTAAAGACAAAAGCCAACACTCAGCACAACTCACATACCCCAACCTACACCCAGCAAATGTTTCATAAAAACCTCCGATTCTTCACAATAAATTTAAAACCCACCAACAAACTTTGAGAGAAATACCTGTTCCTATTAGCTAGTCCATTACACCAATACCTCTAAACACGCTCTCTCTCAAGTACCTGCGACGAGGTGGAGGACTCCTTCTCCGATAATCATCTCGAGGGCGACGACCCCAAGAAGGAGGTGGGCCACGATTTCTACTTCTCTTTTCACCATTCGACAGTTCCACTCTTACTCGGCAGCCACATAGCGTTCTAGGAAGAAAAAAACATTATTAAATTTAAAGCAGCCAAACTGACTTTCTAAGGAATGTATATTAAAGCAAAAAACACATCTAGTTAGCACCTTAGCAAAGAACACATCTGAGTGCCTATAGAATCCTTAACACCTAAGCAAGTTTTCTCTCTTATTTTTTCTTATAGAAAACCCACTTCCTTACATTTTATTGCTTTATTCAGAGTCAGTCTGATCATTGCACTCAATGTTAATTTGTTAACAGTTGTCATTTAAGTGTGAAAACTTCTGGATTCATCCTTGGAAGAACTAGTTCAGGTGTACATACTGTTCTGACTTCTCCCTTTGAGGTCCCAGCACTTGTTTATGGATCTTACAGGTTATTTGCTGGTCTCTGCATGCCACCCCAACCATGTAAACCACCACCAATAGGACAGAAGACTTTGGGTCATCTTATTTTACATCACCCCTTCCCCTCAATCATACAATAGTTGACATTGAAAATTCGCAGCAACCATTAAGTTTAGATAAGCCACAGTGATTGGGAAGAAGATGGGGCCCTGTAAATGTGTTTCTGCAAACTGCTTGCATAAACAAGCTTTTATACAGCCAACCCTCAGACCATTTATTTTTAGGATTTTAAGGATTAAGAGTTTTCCTTGGTTTCAAAAGCCAAATAGAAAGGGAAAGGGTAACACCTGTTCACTATAAAGACTCAGGTATTATCAGCCAACTAATGACACTCTTCATTAAGAAAAATTGCTATACAATCCAGACTTCCTAAAAGCAGCACTTTTTAAACCACCATTTAACCATCATCCAAGCTACATTTATCAATTCATGGCCATTCTTAAAGAAAATATCTGATTCCACAATTGTTTTTTTTAAATCCTCAGTCGAGGACATTTTTCCTTTTTTTTTTTTGTTCAGATAGAGTGGAAGGGGGAGAGAGGAAGGGGGGAGAGAGAAACATCGATGTGAAAGGGACACACGGAGTGGCTGCCTCCCGCTCAACTCAACCAGGGCCGGGGAAAAACTGCAACTGAGGTACGCGCCCTTATTGGGAACTGAACCCGGGTCTCTCCGGACCGCAGGCTGACACTCTAACCGCTGAGCCAAACCAACAATTCCATAATTGTTTTAGACATAATTCAAAAGTGACAGTTGACACTGGAGAATTTAGATTAAAATGTTTTGACCATTTCTTGGATGCAGCTATCACCCACCAAGAATTGACCATTAAACTTAAATTATTTTGGAGATTGGAGGAGATGTGGGGTTAGCATCCAGACAACACTGCCTGGGGTCCAACTTAATCAAAAGAAACTTCCTACATATCTCCACTAAAACTGATGGGTCCCTTTTTGATTGTAAAATAGGTTTTTGTAATTTCCAGTAATAGCAATTTCAGATAACCAAGAAGTCACTCAGAACTGCGTGTCCTAGTAATTTTAAATATTAGAAACTCAACCAACATATTCACTGTTAATATAAAACGACGATTAAATTACCTCCCATCTAGCTCTCGGACAGCATCAGCTGCATCTCGGGGATCTTCAAATTCAACAAAAGCAAAGCCGGGAGGGTTTCTAGCAACCCATACACTTCGGAGTGGTCCATAATAGCCAAAAGCTCGTTCCAATTCTGTCTTGTTTCCATTGTTTCCAAGATTACCTACATAAACCTTACAATCCAATGGACAGGAATCACGATGCATTTCTGTAAAAAAAAAAAAACAAAAACAAAACTTGAAGATTCAACCAAATTATGTACACAGTGAAAAACATCCTTAGGAAACCCTGCCAAAATAGTAAAAACCAAGCAAGTAAAATTCCCACCCTCAAAACACCCATTTCTCCCGAAATGTTACTGATAACTGTCAGGAAACCAGCACAAAGTGCTTAAAGGGGGGGGGGGGGGAAAGGCTCCCTGGAAAGGGGAAAAAAACATTGGAGGAACGTTTACTACAATGTGGGCACTGAGTTAGGGACTTTACCTGTTAACAGCAAGAAAGCATTAACCCAAATATCTACCAACGGATAAGCAAGCAAAATTTATTATCCATACGACAGACTACTAGTCAGGAAAAGTATTACTGATAAATATTACAAATGTGGATGAAAACATGCGAAGCTATAGAAGCCAGACACAAAGGTGCATAATTACAATCCCATCTATTATGAAATATCCAAAATAGGTAAACCCAGAGACAGATGTGTGTTTACACTTGTTATGCACTAATTACTGCACTTTAGGGGCTTGTATTTACTTAAAGTCGCCGGGGCAACAATCCCAATCACCCAGTAGACCAGTGTCAATTGCTTGAAAGAGGAGCCTCTTCAATAACTCAGCTCAAGGACTATTCACAAACACCACGTTGCTCTCACTTTGGGCTAACCCAATTTTTTTTTTTTAAGTCCACATCTGTGTGACCCCACCCTGTGCGCAGGAGTTCAGACCAAAGCACCGCTGGAGACTGACTTTTTTCATGTCTACGGATTAACAGAAACCAGCCACAAAACCAATGCTGCCCACAGAAGATCGGTTTTACAAGACCGGGTTCAACGTGTAAAAAGTGAAGTCTAATTAAAATAACATGAAAATAAATGAGTACAAAACTCAACTAATGTGGATCGAAAGATCCAGTCTTGATTAGTGACTTGAAAAAAAAAAAATCCTGGAAGGTTCTTAAAAAAACGTGGTTCTTAAAAAAAAAAAAAAAAAGGCGCCATAAATTGAAAGGCCGCGCGGCCTAGAATACAACACGGTTACCGGCACCCCCTCCGCCTCAGTTGTCAGGTAATCCCACACCCCGGCTCACCCTCCCGTAAAGGTTTATAAACACCTTCACTTCAAGGCCAGGATACCGCCTCGGGTCGCCCTGAAGCCCCCGCCACCGCCCGTGCGGAACGTCACAAAATGGCGGCGGCGTCCCTTTGTCTCAATCTGGCGCCGCCATTGGCGCCGGCCCCACCTCGGCACTGTTAAGTTTCATCTCCCATTTCACTCCTTGAAACCTGGTCTCTTACCGAGATCTTGAGTCAGAAATGCAGCGGCTTAAATCCACACACCCTCGGCCGGCTCTTCAGCTCCCCTCCGCCCGGCTCCCACACGTCCTACCACCTACCCGGCGTCCACGAAATGGCGGACTACCGCCGTCTCCTTGCCCTTATTTATACTATGCGCTGGAATCACATGATTGGATGGGCTCGTCCAATGAGAGGCCGAGACAGCCGTGACGTAGCGGCTACAAACGCAACGAGACCCGCCGTTGCTGGGAGCGTGCTCAGGCCGCGCCGCCAAATCTGTGGAGATTTGAGCTCTCGCGGCCCCAGTCCCGAGTCTGCGTGTTCTTCCCCGGCTTCTGATCTCCAAGTTATTTTCAGTCTCCTCTCCCTCATCCCCAAACAGGCTGGAGTTAACCACTACTGCCGTCACTCCCACAAGCTGAGAGCGCCATTTGCGCCATTTACTTCTAATAAGACTTAGGTATCAGATGAATTCACTGCTCGATCCTCGCTCGTGATTTGGCTGGAACTAAGACCAGCGCGCTTACAAATGTGCCTCAGAGCTGCTCCTAAAGTCACCGAGCTGTTTAGGACCGAACTGCCACCAGATTGTGCCCGCCAGGTCCTACACCCAGGGGAGAGGCCGCGCCGGCAAAGCCCGCCCCACTGGCCGGCTTCCCGCCTCGCCGGAGCTGCACGCTGCAGCAGAGAGGGCGGCGACATCATCAGCCTCAACTCGGAAAACGTTTAACAGAAACTCAAAGGCAAAAGAGATCGGCCAGGCCCTCTGGAAACGGTCACCTTTAGCGAATAACAGTAGGAGGAAGTTCCTGAAGAAGATGGGCTCAGATTCTAAACCCAGACAAATGCCGGGAAGGCGCCTCTGGCCTTCCTCCTGGAGAGGGTGGGGGCGGGGGCCGGGGCCGCTCGCACCTTCCTGTTTTCCGCTGCCCCTGGGAGGACCGAGTCGCAGGAATGTGAACTGTAAGGCGACAAATGCCGCGCTTGTTAGAAAAATCACCCAGCTCTCCCTCTCGGGAACAGCTCAGCTAGGATGTTTGGTGCCTTCAAACTTTCTCCCCTACCTCCTTGCAGTAGCGTCTGACTTACGTATTGGTAAAAAGTATTTAGACCTCTCAAGAAAAAAAAAAGCAAAAATTACCTGTAGTTTCAGTCATTTGCTGAAATGCTAATTATTTTATGCCTTATCTCTCCCAGATGTTTTTCGTTTAAAGCCTTATCTCCTCTTGGCTCTAAAAGGTCGCCCTGAGCCTTAGTTTCCTCTGGTGTAAAATGGGGTTTTCTTACCGCAGGGGAAGAAGGGGAAGGGGAGCCCCAGTGGTTGAGCCCGCCCTGTGCTGGCCTTACCTGGGGTGTTTGCAGGTGAAGGGGGGTTCTAGCAAACCCTCTCTCTTCACTTCCTACTTTTCTTTCATTCTCTAAATGTTATCTTCTGACTCACTTATGTTTGCCTTTACTTGCTCTCCTTAGTGTAAGCTTGTCTCTCCATAATTGTCTTCTGCCAGAGCAAAGTCAGATAGCCGTGGGTTTGGACCACAGCCCCACTGCTACTAACTGCTACGCATGTGTCTTGAGAAGAATCCATTAACCCGTTTCAGGGTTAGTTTCCTCTCTGTAAAAAGGAATAATACTACCAGGGTTGCAGGGTTGTTGGATGCTGTCGCCTCCCACAGGAACTTCCGCTTTTGTCTATTGTGGTCCCTCCTGCATCCCCAGGGCCTGGAAACAAAGCTGGCACACAGCAGGCAATCAATACATATTTTTAAATTATTTAATTAAAAGAAATATGTATGTGCCCTGGCCGGCTTGGCTCAGCGGTTGGGTTGGAGTGTCAGCTGCAGACCAAAGAGTCTCAGGTTTGATTCCAATCAAGGGCATGTACCTTTGTTGTGGTTCATCCCAGGCCCTGGTCAGAGTCATGTGGGAGGCAACCAGTCAGCGTGTCTCTCTCACATCCATGTTTCTCTCTCTCTCTCTCTCTACTCTATCTGAAGATAAATGGGAAAATGTCCTCGGGTGAGGATTAAGAAAATAAAAGAAATATGTATGTAAATCACCTGGCACAATCTCTGCTCAAAAAATGAAACTTTTTAAAAAATGTTCCTTTCACTGCTCAATCTCCCATTCTTTTCCACCATTTTTCCTGTTTTTGTTTGTGTGTGTAATGCTAGTCTAGCATGCGTCTTTCAATGGAGCACTCTGAATTTCTCCAACTGTATTCCTGAATACATTCTGAATCTCCTCTGGCTATCCACACACTTTCCATCTTCTGGTAACTGCAGCTAAATGAATTAGCCATTTAAATTCTGGAATATTTTAATGCTCCTTTGTTGTTGTTGTTGTTTTATCCTCACCTGAGGACATTTTTGCATTTATCTTCAAATAGAACAAGAGGGAGAGAGGGAGGAAGAGAGAGAGAAACATTGATGTGAGAGAGATACATCGAGTGGTTGCCACCCACACGACCCCAACCGGGGCCGGGGACAAACTGCAACCGAGGTACATGTCTTAAGTAGGAACTGAACCCAGGTTTCTCTGGTCCACAGGCCGACTCTGTAACCGCTGAGCCAAATTGGCCAGGGCTGCTCCTTTGATTTTATTTGACCACCAATCATGCTTGCCTAGACCCTACAACCACATGAAACTACCTATCTGAATTTCTTGTTAGGGACAGGGAATGGAGATCATGTGTTGTAGTGAACATCTCTTGATTTTCTTAGGGGAACTACCTTTCTCACAAGTAGACCATGTTGTTGATTCAGGTATGGTTGGGCCCTACAACCCACTTTTTCATGGGTAGGAACATGACCATCTCTGGTTAATTAAGTCATTCCAGTTCTTAACCCCCACTCCCATCCCCATTAGAAGTGATGAGTAATCTCATCAGGACAGTTACTAATTCCAACATTGTTGCTAGGCCAGAGAGAGGTGTGTTCATTTCCTCTGACTGGTGGGGTCCTGAGCCAGGGCAGCCATCCTGTTTCCAGAAGAGAAGCAGCAGTCTGCAGTAGACCCAATGTAAAGGCAGGGAGAGCTGAGAGGTGTGAATAAGGAGCCCTGGACCCAGTTCCACTTTTGGAATTCCCAGTTATTTGAACATACAAATTCCCTGCCTCTTCTGCCAACTTGTGTAAGCTAGCTGTGAGTTGATTCCCCCCTCCCCCCCCTCACTTGCACACAGAAAGATTCCAAATATGGAAATTACTCTCACATACTTCTCACTACCTCAAGTTGAGAACCCTGGCACTAAGTAATCCTCCAATTTAAAAAAAAATGTACCTGTTACCAATCAACTAAGTACTTTTTTTAACTTAAGGGCAAAAAGTTACTGGTGGCCAGGCTTTAATACCTATGTATAAAAATTAGTATTTTAAATACTGTGGTTAAGTCCGGCCGGTGTGGTTCAGTGGTTGAGCGTTGACCCGTGCACCAGGAGATCACCGGTTCAGTTCCCAGTCAGGACACATGCCCAGGTTGTGGACCCAATCCCCACAGAATGTGGGGCATGCAGAAGGCGGCCAATGTTCTCTGTCATTGATGTGTGTGTGTCTCTCTCTTTCACTTCCTCTCTCTCTAAAATTAATAAAGGAAAAAACAATTTTTTAAAATAAAATAATAAATACTGTGGTTGACTTCAAGGAACATCTAATAAGAGCATGGACCATAACAATGCCTGGCAGGAAGCAGATGGCACAGTCAATAAAGGGTTATTTACAGAGGCATGGGCAGGGTTAAGGAAACCCACAAGGGAAGGCAGGACTCCCAGAGACAGCTCTTAGGCCCAATGGGGAAAGAATGAGAAGAGTTAGCAGAACCAGGCAAGTCCTGTATCTATGAAGAGGGCCACTATGGCCTAATTAGAGGATCTGCAGCAGCCCAGTTGTGGGGTTTTGTTTTGTTTTTTTGTTCTCTGGAAGAGAGTGGGGTCAGAGGTGGAAGAACTGAATTATACTCTCTCCCCATAGTCCCATCTTTTAATGGTACCTTCTATAGCCCAAAGCCATCTGCAAACCTGAGGGTAAGAGAGCAAGCCTAGAAGTCAGCCTCCAGGGTACAGAGCAGAGAAGATTGGAAAACTAATCTAGGGCTATGCTGTTTAATGCAGCAACCGTTAGGCATGTGTGGCTATCAACTTGAGTCCGAACTGAGATGTGTTGTAAATGTAACACATACATGCTGGATTTAAAACAGTATATAAAAACAGTAAAGGAATGTAAAGTATTATAAAGTTTTATATTGATTACATCCATGTGAGAGAGAAACATCGACCAGCTGCCTCCCACATGCACCTCAACCAGGGATCCTTTTGCTGCACAGGAACAACGCTCAACTAACTGAGCTGCATCAGTCAAGGTGAGATGATAATATCTTTGATGTACTGGGTTAAGAAACTATATTATTAAATTAACTTCATCTATTTATTTATACTTTTTTTTTATCCTCACCCGAGGAAATTTTTCAATTTTTTGTTCAGATAGAGTGGGAGGGAGAGAGAGGAAGAGAGAGAGAGAGAGAAACATTGACGTGAAAGGGACACATCGAGTGGCTGCCTTTGGCACAACCCAACCAGGGCTGGGGACAAACTGCAACCAAGGTACATGCCCTTAGCGGGAACCGAACCTGCATCTCTCTGGACTGCAGGCTGACACTCTAACCACTGAGCCAAACCAGCCAGGGCTATTTATACTTTTTAAACTACGGCTATTAGAACACTTAAAATTATATGTGTGGCTCACATTATATTTCTATCGGGCAGTGTTGATCTACCATTTAAAATAATCATTTAAAAACTCATTTTAGCCCTGGCTGGTGTGGCTCAATTGAGTGAAGCGTCGTCCCATACACCAGAAGGTGGTGGGTTCAATTCCTAGTCAGGGCACATACCCAGGTTATGGGTCCCATCCCTGGTTGGAGCACATGTGGGAGGCAGCCAGTTGATGTTTCATGGTGTGTTTCTCTCTCTCTCTCTCTCTCTCTCTCTCTCTCTCTCTCTCTCTCCCTCTCTCTCCCCCCTCCTTTCCTCTCTCTCTCCCTCTCTCTCCCTCCATCCCTCCCTTCCTCTCTCTAAATCAATAAAAATAAATAAATAATTGATTTTTAAAAACTCA